CTGCGCCAGCGCGCCTTTAAACGTCCAAATGCACATTCTACCACCATTCTGCACTTGCTCAGCCTGTAGTTGAACAGCTCCTGACTACTGTCCAGGCTGCCTGTGTACGGCTTCATGAGCCATGGCATTAAGGGGTAGGCTGGGTCCCCAAGGATACATATAGGCATTTCAACATCCCCAACCGTTATTTTCTGGTCTGGGAATAAAGTCCCTTCCTGCAGCTTTTGAAACAGACCAGAGTTCCTGAAGATGCGAGCATCATGCACCTTTCCCGGCCATCCCACGTTGATGTTGGTGAAACGTCCCTTGTGATCCACCAGAGCTTGCAGCACTATCGAAAAGTACCCCTTGCGGTTTATGTACTCGGCAGCTTGGTGCTCCGGTGCCAAGATAGGGATATGGGTTCCGTCTATAGCCCCACCACAGTTAGGGAATCCCATTGCAGCAAAGCCATCCACTATGACCTGCACATTTCCCAGGGTCACTACCCTTGATATCAGCAGATCTTTGATTGCGTGGGCTACTTGCATCACAGCAGCCCCCACAGTAGATTTGCCCACTCCAAATTGATTCCCAACTGACCGGTAGCTGTCTGGCGTTGCAAGCTTCCACAGGGCTATCGCCACTCGCTTCTCAACTGTGAGGGCTGCTCTCATCTTGGTATTCATGCGCCTCAGGGCAGGGGAAAGCAAGTCACAAAGTTCCATGAAAGTGCCCTTACGCATGCGAAAGTTTCGCAGCCACTGGGAATCGTCCCAGACCTGCAACACTATGCGGTCCCACCAGTCTGTGCCTGTTTCCCGAGCCCAGAATCGGCGTTCCACAGCATGAACCTGCCCCATTAGCACCATGATGCATGCATTGGCAGGGCCCATGCTTTCAGAGAAATCTGTGTCCATGTCCTGATCACTCACGTGACCGCGCTGACGTCGCCTCCTCGCCCGGTATCGCTTTGCCAGGTTCTGGTGCTGCATATACTGCTGGATAATGCGTGTGGTGTTTAATGTGCTCCTAATTGCCAAAGTGAGCTGAGCGGCCTCCATGCTTGCCTTGGTATGGCGTCCGCACAGAAAAAAGGCGCGGAACGATTGTCTGCCGTTGCTCTGACGGAGGGAGGGGCGACTGATGACACGGCTTACAGGGTTGGCTTCAGGGAGCTAAAATCAACAAAGGGGGTGCCTGTACATCAAGGAGTATTTCAGGCAGGACTTCACGGAGGGTTCCAATAAGAAATGGTGCACCTAAGTTATCGTTCTTATTGGAACAAGGAGGTTAGCCTGGCCTCTGATTGATACATGGCTAGATTTACCTCGCTGCACCTTCTCTGTGAGTGACTGCAGTGTGACCTAGAGGAATGAGTCCCCTAGACAGGGGAGGAGGCAAACGAGTACAAAACAAATCTGGTCTATTTCTTGTTTTGACCCACTCCATCTATCTTTTACATCTTTGGCTGGCAGCAGACGGTGCAGAAGGACTGCATGCCATCCTCATCTCTTGCCTGCCTGGCAGAAGATGGTACAGTACGACTGCTAGCAGTCCGTATCGCCTGCCCGCTCACCGTAAGACGGTTCAATAGGACTGACTGCAGGACTAAAGAGAATGACCTGGTCAAGTCACTCCAAATTTAGTCCCTGCGCCCATGTCTGCCCAGGCGCTCCCAGCCAACGTGGCCAGGAGCACCTCGGACACGACGAGGACGACTACCAGTCGTATTGCACCGTCTGCTGCCAGAAGGCAATGGGTTGCTGCTACTGTGCAGCAAAGCCGTACCGCGTCTGCCAGCACCCAGGAGACATAGGGTGACGGTTACCTGAGCGGGCTCCATGCTTGCCGTGGTATGGCGTCTGCACAGGTAACTCAGGAATAAAGGCGCGAAATGATTGTCTGCCCTTGCTTTCACGGAGGGAGGGAGGGAACGGGGGCCTGACGATACGTACCCAGAACCACCCGCGACAATGTTTTAGCCCCATCAGGCATTGGGATCTCAACCCAGAATTCCAATGGGCAGCGGAGACTGCGGGAACTGTGGGATAGCTACCCAGAGTGCAACGCTCCGGAAGTTGACTCTAGCCTCGGTACTGTGGAAGCGCTCCGCCGAGTTAATGCACTTAATGCACTTAGAGCATTTTCTGTGGGGACACACACACTCGAATATATAAAACCGATTTCTAAAAAACCGACTTCTATAAATTCGACCTTATTCCGTAGTGTAGACATAGCCTAAGTGCTGTCCCTGAACTGTTCAGGGGCTCCATCCTTCACAGCCTCCCTCTAGTACAGGAGGGAAAATTCCATTTGTAATAGAAGAAATGAACTACATTTGTAATTATGATCTGTGAACTAGTGTATAAATTCAGGACTAAGTACTTGCCTCAGGCTCCACCCGGGTATAGGCCCATGGCGGTGGGTGTATGTGTGTGTCAAAGAGATATTTGCAGAAAGATCAATCGCAGAAAATTACCTTTATATAGGGTATGTCTATGGTCAGTATAGATACTACCTATTCCAATGGCAGGAATTCTCCCTTGGGTGTAGGTAATGCACTCCCCAAGAGGCAGGAGCTTCCACTGACCTAGAGCGGTCTACACCAGGAGCTAGGTCAGTATAGCTACGTCTCTCAGGGGCAGTTGGGAGGTTGCAGAATTTAGACGTGCATTAAAAATCATGTTTCTAGCCCCTATGGTTCTTCTGTCTTCAGATCGATACAGTACATTTGTTGATGCCCAGGACTTTCCAAAAAACAGCAGAGTGAAATTGATCACTCTAATCAGTTTCATTTCTGCTATTCATAACTTTGGGACCATCAGGGACAGGACAAGAACCATGTCATTTTACTCTGAAGATTCTGTTTTTGAAAGCTGTATGCAAAATCAAGCTTTGCGGAAGACGGATTTTTTTTTTTTAATCTTCTAGAAATAGAGCAGCAAGGACAACCTAGCCAGTAGGTTCAGGGGCTACAAGGGAGAAGAGAAATTGTTCGATACTAAAGATTAGCAGACAGTCAGCACAATGGTAAGAAACCTAGCACATTTCCCCAACAGATAATTGGACAGCAGGCTCACTCATCAAAGCATTATCATTGTTGCTGCTCCTCGTACACCTCCTTCATACTGGACTGGCTGTGTACATTTGTTCTGACAGAACAAATAATTAGTAAATAAAACCTACTAATTCAACACAATGTAAACTGAGCTGAAGTTAAAATAGGGTAATGCTTCATGGAGAGTGCTTGAGATTCAAGCTCAGTTATTATTATTCTTATTGTGGTAATGCCTAGGATTACCAGTCACAGACCAAGTCCTAGTCTACACTATGAATTGATGTCGGTATAAAATCCACAACCCTGAGCAACACAGTTATACGGCCTGAACTCCCTGTGTAGACAGCAGTATGTAGACAGGATGGCTTCTCCCATTAACATAGCTACCGCCTCTCGGGGAGGTGGAATACCTATGCCAATGAGAGAATCTCTCCCATTGGCATAGGTAGTGTCTTCACTAAGCACTGCAGCTGTGCCCCTGCAGTGCTTTAAGTATAGACAAGCCCCAAGACTCCATAGTGCCGGGCACCATAAAAACACACACAGAAAATACAGTCCCTGCCCCACAAAGCACAAGTATGTGGCCTCCTCTGTAGATAATAGGGAGCAAATAAATATTTTCTCTTAAAAGAACATACAAGCATTTTATAAAGTGGATTTAAAATTAAAAGAAGTGAGTGGGCAAGTTTCTGTGGTCTGCAACGTGCAGGTCAGACTAACTGATCTTGATGGCCCCTTCTGGTGTTAAAATCTATGAGTCTAAAAAGAGTCTGGCTCATATTACCCTATGCACAAATACAGGTGATAACCAGAACAAAGGGCTTCAGGGGATCATCCAACGAAGTGGGTTTTAGCCCACGAAAGCTTATGCCCAGATAAATTTGTTAATCTCTAAGGTGCCACAAGACTCCTCGTTCTTTTTACCAAAGATACTTTACCAAGTCCCATATATTTATGGGAGGCAATTCCTTCACTGGGAAGGAGTTTTAAGGCAATATTTAGCCTTGCGATGGAAGATTTAGCTATGTGTACTTCAACAAGCCATGTGTCATCTTACTTTTTGAAATCTCATTCATTCATACTGTCCTAACAGCTCTGCTAAATGTATTATCATACATATGCAGTATTCATTATTTTCAGTTCATTAATGCCTGCAAACAAAATGAGTCTGTAAGTGATGTCATAGCCATTAAAAAAAATATAAAAAAAAAATCTATGTACAGAGTTGGGACAGCCCTTCAAACTAGAAGACAGAGAGTGGACCCTCCAGCCAGCCATGGAGCACCCTTCAAAGCAACATCCCCTGTTCTAGAGGCCTGCAGGGAAGGAGGCCATGTGGCAAGCAGAGTCTGGTGATTTTGCCTGCTAGGGGAGAAGAGAGAGGATCCATTCAAACTCTGGAGCAGGCATGGAACACGGCCCCCTGCGTGTACCAGCAGCTGGAATTTTCACTAATGATTTATGTCTGGAGGACTGAAAGTGTGGCCAGCAGCACATCACCAACGTGCGTGGAGAAAAGGCTCTTGTCCTGCCCCAAGGAGCTGATTTTTTTTTTAAAGCCATTCACCACAATACCCCATTTGTAACTAATCCCACCCCACTTGGATCTCGCCCATGACCCTCCACACCTCCCTCCTCTAACTTCCCTCCAATTTGCAGTTTATTCCCTGCCACTCAACGCCCCCTTTCTTCTCACACCAAACCGGACCACAAGACCGACCTCGTCTCCCCTAGGGCTGGGTCACCCCCACCCTTTCCCCAAGCCCGTCACAGGCAGGCTGAGCCCCCCCGGAGGGCTAAAGCCCCTGCGGCCCAACGAGGGGTGGGCCCCTTCCCGTGACGGAGCGGGTAACTCCCGCCCCTTGGTGGGGGTGTAGGCCCCGGCCCCCACTATGGCGCGGAGGCCCTCGCCCGCATGGGGCTCGGCGGGGCAGACTCCCCGAAGCGCCCCAGCACTCACCCGCTCGCGGCCCGGCTCGCTGCCCGCGCTCCTACTGCCTCGCCGCCGCCGCCATGTTAGAAGCTGGTGCGGCACAGACTGCGTCAGTAGAGGAGACGGCGGGAGCAGGGAACCCCAGAGGCGGCGTTGGGTGGAGGCTGACCGGACGGGCGCCGGCGGGGTGCGTGCAACGGTCGCGGTAAACCCCGACCCGGCTGTGCTGAGGCGGCCAACTCGGCCGCTCGGAGCCCACAGTGATTAGGGGGGCCGCTCCCCGCCTCCTTCCGCCGTCAGAGCTGCTCCGCCCCCTCGTCCACTCCACTCCACTCGGCTAGGCCGCCTGCCTGTGCCTGAGCTCAGCCCTGAGCCCCGTGCCCCGAGCTAGCCGAGGGCCTCAGACCTCCCTCCCGCGCCAGAGCGCGCGTGCCCCAAGCGACGAGGGGGGCGCAGGGGCCGGCTCTGTTCCCTGCCAGTGCCTTGGGTTGCCAGGTTTGGTTGGGTGAATTCCTGGAGGTTTCATCACATGACATAATCTTGAATTAAAGATTCATCTTTAATTCCTGGAGACTGCAGGACAGTCCTGGACTTATTGGAAAACCTACTGACCTGTGCAGGCACAGCGCCCTGTGGCCAGAATAAGGAGAGGGCCTCAGCCCTCCCCTCCCCACAAGTCTCTGCCCTGAGTTAGGATATGGGCATAGCACCCCCAGCCACTAGCGCCCTGGGTGGTGAGAGGCCTCAGCTCCCCCCTGCACTAGTGCCTCTGTACCCCCAGAGGACACAAGACCCCCAGCTGCCAGAGTCCCAGTTTCTTCAGCGAGGAGAGGAACTCAGCCTCCCCACTCCCCTAGAGCCCCTATGTCCTAAGTGGGCAGTGCTCCCCACTTGCCAGAGCCTCTGAGCAAGGAGAGGAGCCTATGCCAGAGCCCTTGTGCCTCAAGCAAAGAGAGGGGCCCTGGCCCATGTCAGAGCACCTATGCCCCAAGCAAGGAGAGGGCACGGCCCCCATGCCCCATGCCAGAGCCTCTGTGTCCTGAGCAAGGAGAGGGGCACACGCACACACTTCAGTGTCCCTCCTCATGCCAGTCTGTATGGATATATTGCATTATAAAATATGGGCCTGATTGGGCCTTCTGTCAGTTAAGAAATTAGCATGTATATACATTATCTGAATATTGTTCACAAGGACGTGTGGGCAGTCTCCAGCAGGAACCTTGGGCCTGGACTCCAGTATTTAAACTGGAGAAAGGGCTGATGACACTCAGATATACTATGTGATGGGCACAAAATAAGGAACAATTATATGCACACATATTATTTTTTCTGCAGGACTTCTGCCTCATTCAGTGCACAGGATTGACCTACTCGGGATCTGGAGCAGGATTTTGTACTATTTGTACCAGTCTGGGGCCGGTGGGTCTAGGCCTGTCCCCTCAGCTAAGTGGAAAGCACCACAAAGCCTAGGCTACAGTTGAGTTCTTGGGACAACAAGATTAAGCAATTAAGAATGAGGAATCCGAGGAGGAAACCAAGCAGAGAACACCAGACAGCAGCACCTACTGCTCCTCAAAGGCATCCAAGGAGTCAGTGGATGCCATTCAGAGGAACTCTAGACAGAGATGTAAGCAAGCAAGGGACTGGAAATAAGCCCCATAGTTGGAGTGTACCCCCCCAGTCCAGCTTCCTCCTCCTGGAGTGATGGATGGCCATTTTGGCCAGCACCACGAAGTGGTTGCCAAGGAGGTTTTGCAACTTAGTGTAAGTGCAGATGGGTTGTGTGTAGATCAGGAGGTGCAGAGAAAAGTGTAGCCAGAACCTCAGTAAGACATTCTGGAGGAGCCGGAAGAGAGGTTGCAACCTGATGCACTCTACACAGATGTGCACCAGGGTCTTCCTCTCACCACAAAAGGGACAACTTTTTGGGGAAGTTTGTGAACTGCATGAGGTACGTGCCTGGAGGAGCTGTCAACTAATATCCCCAGCAGGCTTTGAAACCAGAGTGGAATACAGGCTAGCCCAAGAGCTCCTCACGTGGCAGCATGTCCACTTGGTGTTAGGGCAGGAGCAGGACACAAGGGTGAGGAAGTGGATGGTATAAAGTACAAGCATGTATAGATGTTCTCTGGGCACTGTTTGGAGGTAGACCAGCTGGATGTTGTGCAGAAATCTGTGATGGGCTAGGCCTAAGCAGATTGCAGGAGGAGAAAGGACTGTCTCATGATTAAGGCAGTTGGATGTTGCCTTTAACTGGTTTCTATCCCTGCCTGTGCCACAGAGCCATAGGTGATGCTGGACAAAATATTTAATAGCTTCTGTTGAAGTGAGCACCATCCTTCCTGTGCACTGAATGAGGGAGAGGGGTAGAAGAAAATGATATGATAGTATAATTAAAGACTGTATTATAATGCTATTCATAAGGGACCTGAAGTAGTTTTCCCTCTGCTGATACTCACACCTTCTTGTCAAAGATTGGAAATGGGTGACGTCCACCTTGATTGCAGTGGCCTCGTTAGCACTACAAAAGTAATTTTCCCTCTCCTGATATTCACCCCTTCTTGTCAACTGGTGAGAATAGGCCACTTCCGCCTTAATTGAATTGGCCTCATTAGCACTGACCCCTCCACTTGGCAAGGCAACTCCCATCTTTTCATGTGCTGTGATATATATACTGCTTACTGTATTTTTCACTTCATGCATCTGATGAAGTAAGTGGGTTTTAGCCCATGAAAGCTTATGCCCAAATAAATTGGTTAGTCACTAAGGTGCCACAAGGACTCCTCATTGTTTTTGCTGATACAGACTAACATAGCTACCACTCTGAAACCTTAATTATTTCCTAACTTTTTAGTGCTTGTCTTTGTAACCTAAATAATGTCATTTTAATGTATGTGCAGGGGCATGCGCAAGGGGGGCCACAGGCCCCTCCAATAATTGGCAGGAGTATAGAACCACTCTGGCCCCAGGGCTGTAACAGGAAGAGCGAGCTCCTCCCATCCTGGGGTCATGGCAGGAGCTGACAGCTCCACCGGCCCTTGGGCTGGGTTGAGGAGAGTGAGCTCCTCTGGCCCCAGGGCTGCGGCGGGGCACAGAATGTGCCCCTCCAAAAGCAGGGAAATTTAAATTCCTGGACGAGCCTTTTTGTGTGTGTGTAAAACAACAGATATAATGACTTAGTACATCATGATTGCAACATATGTACAAGTTAAACATACTGTAGGGACATTTTGCTCTGTTAGTATAAACTCTAAGTCCAAAGATAAATGCTGAATAGAAAAGTATTTGGGGGAAAGAAAAACAAAAAAGGCATGATCATTTTTTATTGGAAAGTCTATTTCTTCTGTGTTCTCTGACTTTCACTGAGGTGGGTCATAGGGCATCTAAACTCTGCTCAGCTGAAGATAGAACTTGTTCTCTAAGGTGCCACAAGTCCTCCTTTTCAACTTGCCCAAAGTTTGCCCAGTAGAAGGAGTCCTACAGAATTGGCAGTTTATCATAGAGCTGTGGAGATGTCAGGGTTTGACCAGCTGAAGAAGCCAGAGTGTTTGTAGTTTGTCAGGAGCCTAACAAGGACTGCATGTAACTTGCATAAAACTGAATGGATTGCAGCCACTTTCTTCCCCAATAAAGAGAAGCTGTCCATGGGAACTACAACTCTCCCAGCATGCAATGCACCCAGTGGACACAAAGTCTATCGGTTAATGATCCGCCTTATTTCCAGGAGGAGAGACTACTGATCCCAGCATTCAATGCTCCCAGTCGGGCTGAGCGGCCCGTCTCGAGCATTGCATGCTGGGCGTCTAGTCTGCACTGCTCGAGGCTGGTCCTGAGGTTTCCGGGGCGGCTGGGGTGGCAGCTCGGTGTGTTCCCATCGCATCTTGGCAGTAGGACTGCAGAGCGGGGCGCGGTTGCCAGGCGTGAGCCCCCCGCAGGCGTGAGCCTGGGGGCTGAGGCGATGATCTTTTGCCATGTGGCTCCGAAGAGCCCGGGAGCGCCACGGTGAGTGGCCGGTCGCAGCCGCGTGGTTTTGCGCCTCCCTCCAGCTGTGCGCTTGCCAGGAGGCTGGGTCCCTCAGGTTCCGGGTGGAAGCTGGTAACTGGGGGTTACTGAAGCGCTGGCAGACATTTCAGGAGGGAACCAGAGTAAAACTCCCCTCCCTTGGCTGGAGGGGGGTGAATGCACCCACATGGGTACCCTGGTCCGAGGAGGCCCCACAGGGGTCTCATGGGCACCCGCCTGCCCCCACGAGCATCGGCATGGCAGGGAGAGGGTCATCATACTCCCATGCCAGTTTTCGAAGATGTATAATGCTAAATCTGGAGGAGTTTTCATGGGGACAAAAAGACCTCTCTCTGACTTTTGGAGTTATCCCCCTTTCAGATTTTAAAATTCTGTTGCAAACCATGCAGAGGTTGAAGTACCTTAAAATTATATACAGTATTCATAAAATGGGAAGTGTTAGGCCACCCAAATATAGGGCTAATTACTGTTCCTCCTGTAGTACTTGGCATACAGTCCTATACATAGATTCATCGCTCTTAAGGCCAGATGGGACCTTTACATCTTAGAAGTGCTGTATGAATACTTGTTGCCAGCATATTGAATTGCACATGGCAATAAACTGCATGAAGTTAGCAAACAGAAGGAAAAAAAGTTAGGTCATATTTTACCAACCTTGATGCTGCCTTGGCTATGACACAACTCAATAAAAGTAAAACAATTAGGTGATGAGGGAAATCCACCCTGTTGTATGTCTCTGATCTCAAAACAATAATGCACTGCTAAAAATGGTTTTTTGAATGTGCCTTATTAGTATGTTATTGGAGGACATATAAAGTTCATCCTTAACTGAGAACTTTGTGGTTCTTATTGGTTTATGAGCCAACTTTAAATGCTCAATATGTTTGTTTAATCTGTTCTGGGGTAATTTAAAGGAGTTTCTTGTCCTTTCAGTAAATCTTTTGTACAATACATAGAAAACTATGTAATAAGCCTGTTCTTTGAATAGGTTTTTGTGTGTTTGTTTTGCCCAGTATATTTTTAAAGCTTATGGCAAAATAAATTTTACTCTGTACTTATTTTATTTCACTTCTCTTTGTAAAGAGTAACAATTGGAATTAATGTTGTCTTCTAGGATTTTTAAGAGCTTTGGGATAAATCATCTGCTTCAGTTAAAAGCCTACAGGAAGGAAAAAGTTTATTGGAAACTGTGCAGCTTCACCAGGCAGAGGTCCCAAGCCCTAGTCCTTGGGATGGAGGAATTTGTGGGTCTGCAGAGGAGCTGGGGGCATGGATGTTCTGAGCTCCATGGGGAAATCCTGTGGTACACAAAACATCTCCAGAGAAGGTCATCATCTCCTTTAACTCTCTTCCATGGGGCTAGGGACCTACTTTCCTTCTCGCTGTCTTGCAGCATAGCTTGTTAGCACATGAGGCAGAGCCTGTACTCGCCTCTACCCTGATCCTATGAAGGGTCAGGAAGTGTGGGAGTTATTACCGAAACCAACTAATTTCTTATTGTCTGAACTGAGGGAAATACTTAGTTTACAGTTATGTATTGCTAGTAACACAGATAAGGAAATGTTTTAAAAATTATTTTTAACCTGACAATGCACCTTTTAAGTGTTTGTGTGATGCTTTCTTAATTGTGTTGTAAAATTAGGCTAGGAAAATATCTGCATCAGTGTTAGTTGGCCAGCAAGATAATGGGGTTGTCCTAATTTTGATCTGTGCTCTCATTCTCTCAGAATGAAAGAAAAAATAATTTTCTGTTTCTTTAGATTGTTTACTTTATGTAGTTTAACAGCTCTGTGTAAACTCAGTCTCATCTTTTCTACTGAAAACCTGTCTCTCCTGAAGAGTAAATCAGTTTCCCCTTTTGAGTATCTGATTTTGTGTTTTTTTTCCCACACAGAGAAACAAGGGAGAGAGAAACATTTTTTGAAAAATGGGAAAATGTGATTTTGTAAAATTACAAAAATTGTCAAATTGACCAGTGTAGTACTTAGAATGTTTTTAACTTATTTGTTGAAAACTACTAGATTTCCAGTTTACAATGTCTCTTTATCGAGTATTGGTCTGCATTTTAGCTTATTTCAGTTCCAGTAATAAAAGTCCTATGTTAAGAGGTCATAACTGGTATAAAAAGGCCTGCATCTCAAGGAAATGAGTAAGTGTGTTGCATTGCTTCTAGAAGGAAAAGTTCAACTACACTGGAGTTACTTTTTATGGACAAGGTTATATAAAAATAATCATAAAACTCTTTATAATATAGAGGTAGATCAGAATGAATGTTTTATAGAGATCAGTGCAGAATGGATAGAAGAGATAAAAGTATTTGATAAAACTGGAGTAGAAAGGAAATTGAGGAAATAAAAAAATACTTAAAATGGTCTACAACTTGATAGCAGGGAAATTCCTGTCCCTTCTGATTTTTTTTAATTATTTTTTTGTTCGCTTTTTGTACAGAATACTTTATTTTGTGTTTAAATGGAACATAAATCATGACAGATTAATTTTCTTTGTTTCGTAGAATCCCAGGTTTGGAAGGGACCTCAGGAGGTCATGTAGTCCAACCCTCTATTTTTGTCCCAGATCCCTCAATGGCCCCCTCAAGGATTGAACTCACAACCTTGGGTTTAGCAGGCCAGTGCTCAAACCACTGAGTTATCCCCCCTCCCCATTTGTTTCCTTATGTGTGCACCAGCATCCATGATGTCATGAATGTGTGCCACACTGAGAAAAGCATGTGATGGCTTTTGGAGGGTTTTTTGGGCTTTATTATTATTTTATTTTTTTAGTTAAAGGTGAACTACAAAAATGAAAATTGCAAGTGCTCCCATGTACCTTTGGAATAAGTTCACTACCACGTATGAACTGTTCAAAATAATGTATGAGTTTTCTTTCTTTTGTAGGACTGCTGTGTATTGCTGGCTTGGGTTTGGTGTGATTCCCAGTACGTGCTATGCTGGTGAAGTCAGACCTGCACCTGAAAAGCACTGAAGTCTGTTGATGGAAACAAGGTAAATCCTGTTTTTGGATGTCCAGTATGGGGGGAGCATTCACAGGAAGAATTTGGGCCTCACTTTAAGTCTGACGTATTAAGAAGAGAAATTAACTCAAATGTTTAAAAAGAAATAGTTTTAATTTTTAGCTCCTAATTATTAACTTACCTAACTGTCTTAAATCAGTACTATTACAGATACATTAGAATTCATTTATACCTCTTCCCACAGTGTCTATAAAAGATGCAAGAAAAACAAGTTTGTGCGTCTCAAAATGCCTCATCTTCTTGCTAACAGAAGCTGTTTATTATGAAAAGTGAAAGAGGAAAACATCTTTCTGGACATCTTAAAAGTAGCTTGTGGAGGTGACAAAAATGCTTTGTTTGAGGAATATTTACGCATTTGCACTGAGACGCTGCCAGTTTCGAACTCTGAGTAGTGACACGTTGCTGAGCCAGTTAAATAGCTGCACAACTGAAGATCAGGTCTTTGATCTTGTTGGAAAGAACAAAGCCAAATTATCTGAAAAACACGTTGGAAGTGCAATTAGTCTACTATGGAAATTTCAAAAGGAGAAGTCCCAACTGTTGAGGAATATTGACTATGTAAAAAATCATTCCCAGTTTCTTACTCTTCGCATTTTAGCTGAAAACAAGATAGAATTTATGGATAATGATCTCTTGGTGGATACGCTGTACAATGTATTGAGGTAAGCAGTATAATATTAAATTTCATATAACCAATTTTAAATGAACCCTGTAAATTGCTTGTAAATATAATCTTAAACATTTTATTGTTCAGTTAAATAATATTGGCTTAGAAGTTAACTTTTTTGTCAACTTTTCTTCTTCTTGACTTTTATAGCCTTCTTCCAAAACTCATGACTGTACTCCTGGCTGTCATGCAAATTGGTCTCTTTAAGGTCCGTTAATATTCAGTCCATGTAATGAGTCTTTGGCATTGATTGTCTTCCATCCACAATGCTTGCAAGGGCCATCCTATCAATATAACTCTTGGATCTACGCTGAACAATGTAGCCTGGCCTCCCTCAATTTGTCTTCAGTTAGGGAAAACCACATTTTTGTTATCTTCTCTCATTTTAGTAATCATAGATGTAACAGTACTAGGTACAAAATTCTCAGTCACAAATGTGGGTTTTTTTCAAGTTGATAGTGTCCATTGAACTATACTTTTACATTTGGTAACCTTAATGGAGATAACTGCTAATTTAATTTTTCCAGTGAGCAACATGTGTTTGTTTTAAAAATGAACAAACCTGACTATTTTGTATTATTTTGAAATGTATTAGGCTAAGCTTCTTTTATTTAATTTCTTTTATATAAATATATCCTTCCAGCCTTGTGATTAAAACACAAGGCTGAAAGTAAAGAGATCTGGGTTTTATCCTGTCCTAGCTTTGCCATACTGACGGTGAGACTTTAGACAAGTCACTTAATGTCTCTGTGCCTCAGTTTCCCCATGTGTAAAATGGGAATACTTATCTACATCACAGGGGTGTTATGATGCTTAAGCCATTAACATTTGTAATGTGCAATTAGACCTTTGGTTGGAAGGTGCCATAGAAATGCAAATTATTACTGGATATAACTCTCTTACTAGAGTCTGTGTAGCTCTTTTAAAGCATATGTTAAGAGTTATGTACCTCTGCCTGGTTTGTCTTGTCTTTAATCATTATGAAGGTTCACTGTTGAGGCCCATGATTCTCTGGTAGAAGAGCTGGTCATGGAAGCATGGAGAAGATTAGAAAGGCAAGTATTATGCTATTCTACCTCCAGAGAGAAGTAAATTACAAGCATGTTCAGCTTGAGTTAATGTCTATAAAAGTTCTCTCACACGGTGCTTACTAGAGTTTTAGACATTATCTAAGTATTTTATATCATTATTTTAAACCTCAACTATCTTTTTGGATTGTCTCCTCTTTTGAACTGGTTTTGTTTTGTTAACATAATCAAGCTTTGAGTATTGATGGAGTTTTGAATTGCAGGTGGCCAATGGAGGTGCTTAGATACTAAACAATAGAGGCTGTTGTACCTAGATGAATAAATGCAGATTTAAGATTATATTTAGATGTGTGAACACATACACCACCGACAAAGGAAATTCAAAGAGGGTATACATGCAGTTTTGTATTGATAAATAAAGCAGAGATATGCTTCTTGTCCTGCTCTTTAATGGTGGATATATCCCTCTCCTCCTCACCATCTTAATTTTGGAAAAGACTTTTAGTATAGAACCCTAGTATTTTTCCTTCTTTGCATTTGTGTTTATTTTGAGATTGCATTTTTTGTTCCTCAGTCCCTGGGTGAATGCAGGGGTTGGCATCACTCTCTTCTGTTGTCACCAACAGGACAGAATAGTCTGTCCTAGCCTACTAACTAAGACTAACTAACTACACTGACAGGCTAGTGAAAAGCCAGTACTGCATACTAATACCCACACCAGGTGACTTTCAGATTCACTTCAGCAACATTTATTCAACATGGCAGCAGTTTACTGCATGATAGAATAATCTTAACCACTCCACTACAGTGGCCTTACTAAACCTAGGAACTCCTTCTGTACTTTACCAGACTGTGTACACACGCTTCTTATTGTCTTATTTTGATATGAAAATCAAATTTTTTAAGGTTTAGGTTTTTAAGCTGTTCAGAACTCTCTCCTTATGGACTTCTGTTTTATTTTGGTTGAGGCATGAATGTTACTAGGGGATGACCTATCAGGAAAGCAGTTTATATTGGTCTGATTTTGGGGGGAGGGAAAGGGCAGAGAGATTTTCTTAATTTTAAACTTCTGTCTACTTGCTAATTTAATTATTGTATTAGTTGTTTTACCTCCATGCTTTTATGGAAAGAAAAATAATGTTTACCGTTCAGTTTTCTTTTGTTTGATGTATCAACAGGTTTAGTCTGCCAACTCTATCTAAGTTTGCAATGTGTCTGAATGAACAACAGATATACGCTAGCCCTCTAACTGGCAAAATAGCTGATATTGTGAACGTGAACTTGGATTCTATACAGGACACAAGGTAATTCTGGTTCAATGAAGCTGAATAATATTAGATGCAATATGTACAGAATTATTATGCCTTGTTTATTCAATACTTTGACTTTTTATCAACTCTTCAAATTTTGGAAGAGGCAAATAATTGTACAATGGCATAGGGTCAGTCTTCATGGATGAATCCAGTCTGGGAAAATTTAGATAAGTCATCTTCTGAGTCTCTTTGGGGAAAACATGTGCAAAACTTGTTCAAGAATTTATTTGATCCTTTTACTGTCCACAGCTTGCTTAAAAGAGTAGTTTTATACTGTGCTAATGAAAAAGCAGGGGATATTACTGTACCCTAATTCTGAGTCTTACCTTGCCTTTTCTGAGGTTTTAGACCAGAGGTGGGCAAAATACGGGCCGGATCCAGCCTATCTAACATTTCTGTCCAGCCCGCCATAACTAACATTTCTGTCCGGCCTCCTCTGCCCCCTCACAATCTCTGAGTCCCTGCTGCTAAAAGTCCCACAGTGCAGCAGGGCACTCAGGTAGGCTGCCTGCCTGCCTGCCATGGCCTCACGTCGCTTGTGGAATTGGCTGCTGCTGACACATTTCTGCGAGCCAGCTGCAGCCACTTCTGGAAGTGGTGTGGGGCCACGGCATGCAGGCAGCCTCCCTGAGCCCTGCTGTGCTGCCAGCTGGGAGTTGCCTGTGGTAAGCACCTCCCAACCAGAGCCTTCATCCCCACCTGCACCCTCACCCCCTGCCCCAGGTTAGAACCCCCTCCTGCACCCAAATTCCCTCCCAGACCCTGCGCCCCCTCCTGCACTCCAATCCCCAGCCCAAAGCCCCTTCCTGCACCAAACTCCCTCCCAGAGCCCACACCCCTCACCCTCTCCTGCACCCCAACACTCTGCACCAGCCCAGAGCTCCCTCCTGCACCCAAACTCCCTCCCAGACTCTGAACCCCTCCATTAATATAGTAGAAATGTGCAGCCCATGACAACTTACCAAAATTCGTGGAGTTGCCCCCCTGTGAAAATTATTGCCCACCCCTGTTTTAGACTCAAGTAAACAGCAAGGGATATGATATCTCCTGCCCTGAGAATGGTAGTTTTTCAAAAATGGAGTTGAAGCTAAATCGAACACTAATGGCCACTGAGAATAGTAATAATGATGCTCTCTATTTGTTTCGCATTTTTCTTCTTCAGAGCACTTACAAAATTTAAGTAACTAATCTTCAAAACATCCCTTGTGTTGGACAGCTTTTGTGTTCTGGACTTACTGACCTTGAGGGTGGTCAGTTCACCAAAGGTCTACCTAAGATATGGAGAAGAGGAGAAAGGCCACATCTCTTTCTTACTTTTCAACTCCCCCTTGAGAACTGATTTGTGTATTTTAATTTTCTTTGAGCCCAAGCTTTTGCAGTTTTTATCATCAGACATGACATAGGTTCATCCCAAGCAGTTTACATCTGCAAACGGTCTGTTTCCTTATAGCAGAAAAATCCCAACTTTTTTATGAATCCTAGCAGAAACAGAATTTTTCATCGTTTTGCTTTAATGGAGAAAATATTTTTTCGCTCAGCCCTACTTTTCAGGTTGGATTTTAAATAGCCTTCAAAAAGAGAACTTCTGCAACATTCTCCATAAAGCCTTTTCCTTGTCCATTTTCTGATTTAGTTAGTTATTTCTAAAAACGTTGTTAGGTTTTTTTAAAGCTCAGTGTGTAAGTGTAAAATTTCTTGAATGTTTTTAGGGTCCTGGCGGTTTTGATGATCAATATATCTGGTGTTATCTCACAGAGTTTTCGAGAACGATTAATACAAAAGGCTGAACTTCTGTTGGAAACAGTGAATTTCATCCATTTCAACCACGCCAGAAGGATGGTGCAGTTTCTTCGAAATGTCAGACGAACTTACCGTCCATTGCTGGAAAAATGCAATAAGGTTTTCCTTGAGAATCCCAGTCAGCTTGATCTAGAGAACATCAGTCTTATCCTTGGACTATACCAGTCATTACAGTTTAACAACACTGAATTCCGATTAGTCATTAAACAGAAGCTAACTGAAACTATTGATGATTGTAACAATCCTATGAGTTTCACAAAATTATTTGCTGCTCTAGGGCCTATGGCAGGACCAGAAGTACGAGAACGGTAAGTTTAGCCCTATTTACATCTTATTTATGCCACGTGTACACACGTGCTCCCTCACACAAACTAGTACCTAATAGGATTACTGAAACTAAGACTTTAAATGTTTAAAGCTATACAAATCTTGAGTTTTCTCCATGCTCAGTATGCTATTAAAATGGATCCTTGTCTGGCCTGCTACTCTGTGTTATCCATGCATGCATGAGCAGAGAAGCAATTTTTTTCTAGTTGGCTTAATTTAGATTGCAAATTTGTTGTTACGTTGTGATACAATATTGTAACAGTTTGTCCCAAAAGCTGTTGTCTGGAAGGTGGAAGGGCAACACTGCTACACAGCCCCGCCCCCATAGCTTCATTACTAAGGCTGTGGTCCTGCCCTCCACTTGGAATGGAAGTGGCAAGGCCTAAGAAATTGGGACAGCAAAATGTGTGTCTTCTCTTTACACGAGAATCACAGCAGCCTGGAGTACCTCCTCCCCATTCTGTCCTGGAGAAGCAGAGGTTACAGCAGGAGACCTTCCAGTACTTATCCCAGCTGCTGGGTTGTAACTGGGCGCAGGGACTGGTTCTGTCTGCTCTTCTCATGCTACATACAGTCCCAGGGGGGGGAGGAGGCAGCGGGGGACTCTGCGAAGCATTGTTTCAAGCCGTCTGCAAACTCAGGCAAACGATTACATTTGGTCAGATTTTCAAACTTTCTTTGCTGTCATAAGCTAGACTTCAAATGAAAGTTGAGATTTCGGTGTGTGGGGTTGTGCCCCCTCGCAGCAACTGTCCTGCAAATGACAGTGGTTAGCTGTGCTCATGTAGACTTGTTGGTCTATGATAGAGAGTTTCTGGGCCAAACTGGTGCCAACAAAGTGGTTCTCTATTTGACCAGATTGTGCAAAAAAATTAAGTTTGGAAATTCATTGGCAGACTGATTTTGAATAATTTAACACTCTTATGTCCTCTAAAACCAGTTTAAGTCAGTGCTAGATCCCATTATAAAGAGCGTAGCATACTGGTTAACAGTGACTCACTCTTAGCCTCCTTTTAAATGTTTTTTTTCTTCTTCTTACAGAAGTAGACCATTTGCTGGCTTCTAGAATGATTCAAATCATGTGCCCACCATGTACTCTTTCATCTTTTACCCAGTTGTTTATGCTTTTTTTACCCAACTGTGCTGAGGGAGGAAATAAAAAAATGAGGGTCTTTATTTTGAAGGAGTTTGTTTCCATTATTTTCTACGATAGTTCCCACAGTACAAATCTCTTTTCTCTCCTTCTTCAGACAAATGTGATTACTGTATTCTCCTCTATTACACAGGAGAATTGTTGGAAACTAGCAAAATGCATCTTTTCTCTTACTTTTCAGGTTAATAGCAACTGCGCTACTAATGGTGGAAGAATTTAACTGTCACCAAGCATTAGTAGTAGTGGAAACGATGGAAGAAATGGAATGTAGAAATTCACATCTGATTCAAAAGTAAATTTTTCTAATAATAATACAACATTATATTGAATTCTCGTTGTAAGCAGTTTTCACTTCCTACAGAAAAATACTCAGGCATCCTCACATATGAGGCAGAATTGTGCTCAAATTTGAGGAGGGTTGGAAGTGGAAGCTGATAAAGCCAGGATATATTGCAGTGTATATATGCTATGCTTGTGTTTCTTAGTTATGTTGTCACAGCTGGACCCAAAGTGATTCAGTTGGTTCAGGATATTTCTTTGAAATACATGTGGTCTCACCAAATTGACAATAACATCCTGAGCTAGTTTATGAATATGTGATATCTCTCAGGCTCTCTGATCTGTTGTACAATACAGTCACTCAATTCAGAATACATACATATGACAAGCTGCATTGGCCCTGCCCTGTCTGGTGCAAAAAAGGAGCTGATAGGAACTCAGGCTCATATAGGTGCTGCAGGGAGGATCTGTAACAGCAGCTGTTCCAGGAACTGTGAGGAGGAGAGTGCCTGAGAAAAGGCTGTGGTCTGATCCCAGGCCTGTCCATCTGGGTTAAGAAACCCAGATCAGGAGGAATATTTTGGTATATTCTGATGTTTTGTTAAGTGTTCTGTAACAAACACACTGATCCTGCACATTTGACTAGCTGATCTGGTTTTCTGCTGAATTTTTTTCTCCAGTTTATCAGACTCTATTTTGAATTATTAGTTCATGTATCCAACCAAGCCAGATCCTCTCTTAGTGTAAACTAGTATAGTTTCACTGAAGTTGATGAAGCTGTTCCAGCTTATGCCATTCAAGTATCTGGTCCACTGATTCTTATTCTCTAAATTTAACTGACAAAGTAAAAGGTCAGCACATATTTTCCTTGTTAGAGCAGTAGGAGGCGGTCTTAGTACTTCATAGTGATAGTTGAAACCATTTGGCCTAAACAAATCTTCATAAGATTAAACAATGGAGAGGCGCCTCAGAGCAAGGCCAGAGGTCTGACCGCGTCAGACCTTACATTATAGAGATAATACAGGACTAACACTGATCAGTTGCCAGTCTCTGAGGCTCCGATCCTACAATTCAGTATGCACAGATGGACTGCTGCATCTGTACAGAGCTCCATCGAAGTCAATTGGGCTTCATGTGGATGCTGCAGTTCACCCACGCGCAACAAATTGTACGGTCTTAGGTGTTGTCTAAGAGATGTCTTGTTCATGATGTAAGAAGTTCCTCTGTGATGTTTTTCCACAAAATTATAATGAAGGAATTGATCCTTATCTTTCTCATTGGTTTCAGAATTGCTTCTCTTCTACATAAGTACTTGGATAAGTACAAGCCAGTAGAGTTGGCAAAAATAACACAAGCCTTGGTGCTCCTGCATTGCCAAAATGCAGAGCTTTACACCAAATTAAGAAGATTGGTAGTTGGGTGCGTATTCTTTTTGTAAATATTACTTGATTATTACATTAAACAATTGTTACTTCACAATTGTATACAACTTGTTAGATCTTAATGTTTTACTAACAATTAAACTGTTGTAGGAATTCAAGTCTAAAAAAGCACATGAACTTTAGGATGGGAAGTGAATGTGGTTTAGACTCTAGACATAGTATTGATCTATGTAATAAATATGATCTCCATTGAATATAAGAATGGGCAAGGAGTCTTCTTACACTGGAACTCTAGAATAGGTGGCATTCCAGCAAGATCGTTGATAGCTGCTACTTTGATTTTATTAGTGTTTGTGGGAAGAGATGATGAAAGGGGCATTTCTGCCTGGAGAAATGCCTAAAAATAATCCATTTTTGAGAAGTAGGGACTCCGGTGTCAGCCCAAATGAAAGAGAAAGGAGCACAAATTAGGGTATTCTTCTTTAATTGGGGAACCTCATGCACGTGGCCAAGTTGCTGTGCCATAGTTAACCCAAACAAAGCTAAGGGGGTTTAATGACTCTGAATAGTTCATGTTGGGGGACTATTGCTCCATTGACAAGGAGACCCTTTTAGGAGCCACAGAAAAGGAGCTCTCCCGCAATGGCTTCCCCCCATTGACCTTCCTGTGTGGGGAAGGAGCTCAGTCTGAATGGCTTGTTGGGGATAACGGTGTCTCTACGTCCCTAACACACTGTCCAAGGTTCCTCTTGGAAAGGCCGGGAAAAGGTTCATTTCATTTCTCATAATCTAAAAGATTTCTCTTCCTTCTCCTGCAATGTTGATACAGTAGGGGTATCCCTGGCAAAGGATGTGTTAATTCCTGACAAGGGGGCTTTTTTCCCCAGAGGACCCAACAGACAGGAAAATAAAAGCTGCCCTTAGAAGGGACATCTAAGTTTTATCAGCAACCCTTAGAGCCTCATTGACTGAATTAGCTTCTCTGTGCCTTCCTCCCTCTTCCACTACTAGGAAGAGTGATTCAGAAGATGATAGAGGAGAAAGGGACTATCCTCGTCATCATCCCAGACTGATAAAGAAGGCTGTGATACTCAGACGTAGTGCAGGTGTTGGAAAGGTCTCTTCTCTGTCTCTTCAAGTAGGCACGATCTCCTCTCTAAGGGCCTGCTCTTGCATCTCAGGCAAGACTATTTGAGCCTGGCAGTTTTATATCTGAGTGACAAATCTGAGATATTTCTGTTACGTAATATGGTTAGGCGCTTTATGAAGTCTTCCACCCTCTTGGTCTATGCAGCTATTTGGACAGAATTCTTCTACTAGTATCAAGGTAGACCAACCCTAAAAACAGGCATCCCAGCTCATCTGAATTTCTTAGAGGATGGTTTAAATTTCACATGCCAAGAAAAGAAAATTTATCTGATGACTTCATTTTCTCCAATTAACACTATACCTCTCTCCTTCCTTCAGCATGTAGCTTAGTCCCATTGCCTCAGCTTCGTCTTAGATCCTCTGCAATGTGGCTTCCACTATTTCCACACCAAGGAGATGGCTCTATTGACCTCCAATTGATCAGCCTGAGAGCTTCTTTTCTTTTCACGTTTCATAATCTGCTTGCATTTAAATAGTGCTTCCTGTTCTCTGCTTCTTAGGCTTTCATGCCTCTGTTTTCACCTGCTCTGGTTCAGGTGATTCTATAGCGGTAGTTTTGGTGACAGATATTAGTGAGTAAAGTGGCAGGAAAATGTTGGTCTCACAATAAATAAGACAGTAGTCAATGCTTTGAGCTTTTACCACATTGTTGTTGTCATTATTGCAAGCTTCTGAAATGTAGATGGCTAATGTGGTTAATGCTTTATTTTTCAAATAGAATTTATATTTACATAATTTATTTGCTATTTTTATCCATAAATTATATTTGTCAGTACTGATGGTTTTTCTTTCCCCTTTCTTCCAGCTATTTACAAGTTAATGTTATACCCAGTGACATTTCTATGCTAACTCGTGTTCTGTCCATGCTTCCTTCTTCTCAAGTGGATGAAGTAGTGATTAACAGAGTTGATGCAATTTTGCCTCAGTGCAACTTAAGTGATTTGAATGCCTTTGCTACAGCTCTTGTCAGATGGGTTCGTCATGATCAGTCACATCAGCAAAGCACTTCTGGACCAGGTGCGAAGCTTCTGCAAAAATTAAGTAACTGCGGGCATCAGAGGCTTCAAAAAGCCAGTGACATGGATCTGTTGCTGGAAGAACTTAGATATATATCTGGAGAATGGTTTGAAGAAATACTTGTTGAAGAAACAATGAATACTTGTCAGCGCTTGATAGACCAGATTACATGGATGAATGTACTAGAATTTTCATCTTTTTTCATCAAAACAAACTACCGCTCTACTCCATTACTTGATAGAATAGCTTCTGTGGCAGTTCAACATATAAGCAAGGTATTGATGATACTTCAGGTGTTAACTATAATTTTAGTATGTCAGATGATATATGTTCATTTTTAGAAGTTTGGCTTCTGATGGTATGATCATATGTGTTGCCTTTTTCCTATAATATTTTTATTACAGTGCAGTGAGTGTTATTTCTCCTCTTCGAATGGCTTTGTAAATTATTCAGTAATGGCTGGAAAGAATCAGATTAACATAATGGTGGGAATGGGATTAAAGACACAGGAGACCTACCGATTTCAAACCTGTTAATTGGCAGTTCTAGAGGTTTTACTCTACTTCAGGTGTGAAATAGAGGAGGTTTTACTCCCAGAATGAAAATTTTCCTGAAAAAGGATTGTCCTTTCTAAGAGGACAGATGAGTTAGTCTCCTTTTCAACTGAGTTGTCAATACAGTATCTCCTGGGGAGACTCTGACAGTCTTAAACCTAATGTATTTTTACTGGTCTTGTGGTACTAAGATAAAGCTAGAAGATTTTAGACAATGAAGCTGGGCATGTCTCTGATTTTGGAAAGAAGAGAATAATGTTTATATTGCTATAGCTATCTGCTCCTACTTTTGCCCTGACACAGAGACTTTAATTTCAATACTTCCAAATATTATTCATCTGTTTTGTATATTTTAAAATATTTGTATGCTGTAAAATCTGAGGAGCAAAGGAAATCATTGGAATTTAAAAGTAGTCCATGTACTCTAGGTCTTCTGCTTCTGAATTAGTTACAAACCTCTTTGTTACAATGCAACATCAGGCTGTGTTGAAATTGATTCTTTTTCACTCTTCAAATGGTTATTTTAAAATTTCTTATCCAGATCCATCCTTCTGGAACATATACTATTCTCCTCCCCTTCACTATTATGAATTATGATCCTCCTCAAAGTGAAGAGTTCTTTGAGACTTGCATCCAACATTTTAGCTCTCACTTAGGTAAGTGATGGTAGGTAATGTGTAGGTAGGTAACGGTAGGTAAGTGATGGTAGGTAATTGTGTCAGTTACTGTTTTTCCAGGGCACAAATTTAGGTACACTTGAGAAAAATGGGAATTGGATGGCTATTGAAACATATGGAATAATTTTCTTTTCTTTTTCTAAGTAATGTTCTGCAGAATTCATTGTGTGTTTCCATGAAAGTTCACAGCCTTATTTCAGCCTTCAGAAATCGCTCTTGCTATGGGACTAAGAATATATCTTGAATTGTTGTACAAAGAAAGTGAGAATTTAAATTAGCTGATATTCATGTGGATAAATGGAAAATCCTGTAAAAATAATTACTGTGGCCTTTCCTAAAGGGACTGGAATCAGTCCCTTAATTATTTGGGGGAGAGGAAAGATCTTGATGTTGATTACCAGAAGATAGTGAAGCAGGAAAAGATGAATAAAGACAGATTTCTTGGCTGATAGAATAGTTTGAGAGTTGTATGAAAGATTGCCATGTAATGTAGTACCTTGCTATTATCTCTTCTAAGACTAGTCAGTTTCTTTCTGCAGAGAATATGCCATAATTAGGCCAGGCTTTTGTGGAGTAGGAGAGGCACAGTTCCACTTGGCTGGTGTGACAAGCCTCGCTACTAGAAACAATATATTTTACAACACAAACTGAAATTTACTGTGTTAGAGTTTTACAGCCCTCACTGGGCAAACTGGAGAAGCAATGGGCATGTGCAAGTCCGTGTGTGTGTATTTAACTCCAATCGATAGTAATGGGAGTCAGGCATGTTAATGGATGGAAGAATAGAGCTCATTAGACAATTTTCATTAGACTTTTTACAAATGTATGTAATACATCCATATAAATATATGTTTTGGTTTTTAAAGGTTGTTTTGAGCCTCACCTCTTGGTGCTGCTTGGTTACTCCTTGGCTGTTGCTGAATATTTTCCTCCAGCCCTGATAAACGCAATATTTAATGTTGATTTCCTAGCCAAACTGGATGCCCAGCTTGAAAGTAAGTATTTATCCCTTAGTTTTTTATTATGCTTTTTATAAAGACTGTAAAGCTTTATGAAATACCTTTTACATTGTAAATGATCCCAAATCAGTAACCAAGTAGATTGTAGATTTAAAAAAAAAAAAATACTGTTACATTGAAACTCCAGTAACTACAGTCTCTTCTTCCTTTTACTTAAGGACGGCTTTGAGATGTGCTGAGCTCATTCTATGCAAGGGCGCTTAGCACCTCTCAGGATCAAGCTTTTTATATACTAAATCCTAAATTTCTATTTCCTCTGCAAAATCTTATTACATGAGCAGGACAGGAAGTGCTGTTTTCTGCTCTTTTCTGTCATGATGTTGTTGGTTGAGGTAGGGAAAACATGAACTCCTGTCTTGGCTAGTCAGTAAAGGAGGAGTGTCTTTTCAAATATTTTCTCTTGAATTTCAAGTATATTTTCATTTTAAGTCTTAATCCCATCTGCTCAACCAGCTGGCAAATCTGCCAACTAGCAAACAGGCTCTTCCTGTAACAGAGTGAGTTTGATACTACGAAGAATGCAATGGTTTAGGGAGATGTTTTATGTTTTAATCAACCTGCTAAATTGTACCATAGTTAGTCTGTGTAGCTATCTATTTCTATTTTTACCCTTGTGCTCCTTCCCCCATCCTCTCTGTTGATTTGCTACACACACTTGTTGCATCTTATCTAAAGTTAGGCCCTATCCTGCAAAGAATGATTGTTGTTTCACAACACCTAGTTAAAGTATCTGTGTTACGTAAGGAAAGACTGACTTTTATAAAGTTTGTTCTTCAAAAAGTTCTTTGCCTTTTAGACTAACACCTAGATTGTAACCAGTTATAAACATTGCAAATTAAATTATTTTGCTTACTTTTGTCTGATTTAACTAAATTAATTATGTAGGATGTGGTACAAAATGGTGTGGTAGATAAGTATGCTAATATAGAAATTGAATTACTTCTAAATAATTGAGTCTTCCTGGAAGACACTTTTCCAAATACAACTTGATTCAGGTGATGGTTGGAATCCTTGGTGGAAAGGAGTGGGGAAATCAGTGTATTGGTTTTAAAAGACATAGTGGGAATCTGAGCATCATCAAGGATTTTGTTTAGGCTTTGTTTGCAGTTAGTTTGTCCTCGTATTAGAGCTCACATAAAATTTTCAGAGTGGTTATTCATTTCCCAGACCCAGTTTCTGTTTTGAAACAAATTATATTACTGCAGGAATCTTACAAGAATACTGTCACATGTATTGCTCAGGAAATAGTGTGGAGGTTTTGTCCACAATAGAAGACTCCCCCCAGACTTTCTCTCTCAGTAACCGAAGGAGTGAGCGCTAGTTCCAAACTTTGATTCCGTTCCCCCATACACATTTTGCTACAACTAGGCTGCTGGGCTGGCCCCCTGCCATTTAGTGAAGAGCTGATGGGTAGGAAATTCAGAAGAGATGTTTTGAATGGCTGTATTTTTCTGATGCCTTATTGTTGAATAAAAAGAGAAGGAAAAAATTCCAGTTGAGGGGTTTCCATATTCTGTGTAAGATTCTGAACGTAAGTGCATTAATGCACTGCTAGCTGAAAGGCTATTTCTCCATTAATTAAGTAGCCATTTTGAATGCCCTCCAGACTTCCTGTGTTCTAGCTGACTTTTTAAATTCAGCCCTACCAGATTCCTTAAATTGGAGGGTCCGGTTACGCCTGATGGAATTGAACAGAGCCGTGTGTCTGGAATGCCCTGAGTTTCAGATCCCTTGGTTTCATGAGCGCTATTGTCAGCAGATGCAACGTAAAGGTCAGTATTTTAGGAGCGGCAACGCCATTACTGTTGTTAGTTATGGAGGACCAACAGTTTGGTGGGTGCTACATTTCTTGTAGCATTTTAATGGGATTATTTATTAGCATACTATAAAAGCTGATAACTGAATGTAATACTTAGCACAAAAAGAAGTCAGATGAGACCTTAAAAATGGATGTCCTGTCTGTCCTGCATTGATGTGAAAATATCCTGTGGCAGTACCTGTAAAAAGTAAAGGTTTACTCCAGTGTGCTTGGGCAAAATTTGCCCTCCCCCTTACCTTGTTGTGGTATGTGCCATTTATGCACCTGGCTGCCACTCTTCTCCTCAAAGATGGTGGAGCTGCATGTGGGTTGTGAAAGGTTAGCTTACAAAAGTAGAACACCACCAACCTTAGTGTTCTGCAGAAATGCTTTCATCCCACAGTCTGTTTTGGGATATCTAGTGTAACGATTGCAGTTTTCTGTTTACTGTGACACTATTTTTATTTCAAGCCTGCAGGCCTGTATGTTGATGCTCTAATTTGTCCATTTTGCTTTTGTAGGCAATGGCAGCACAAATACAGCACAACAGCAGATTCATAGAATGCTGGGGGAGATCTTGGGAGGAAGCCAGTATGCAAAAGTATCTGTTCTCACGCCTTACTACTATGGAATAGGTGGGTGGTTAACCAGGTTGGTGGAAATAGCCTTGGATCCACTAGTCCACAGTTAATTCCTGTAGGGGTTATTATAGGCCTGAGTCTTCTCCCTAACTCCATTGCTATATAATATCTGAAAATTGTGCCCCAAATGTCTAAGTATAATAAGCCATCCAGCAGAATGTTGCTATTTTGGAAACTGGTTACAAAATGGGTCTGAAAAAAGGCCCCACAACTGACTTTGCCCTATATAATACAAATAATATTTGATAACTCCAGTGATAACGGTAACTTAGTTTTTCTTAAAATAAATGTTCTAGATAGTAAATCAGATCCATTTTCCTCCTATATTGATTAGCGTACTGGGTTATTGCATTTTCTTAGATTTTGAATGCATTCTGGATAAAAACAAAAAGCCTCTTCCCTATATGGATCAGAGTATAGTTTTGGCTGACTTAGTGCAGTGGGGACCAGACATCCAGCTCCTGGGGAAGAAGGGGCTACCACCGGGAGCACAGAGGTTAGTACATGGTTTTCTATACATTAGATTTTGCTAAGTAGATGAACCAAGTTTGTATATTCAGGCTTTTTCTTACCCTTCATGCTGGCTGTGGCGTCTCTTTTTAATATACACATCACACCTCCTGTGATTAGAAGTGGTATTGAGTGCAAGGCAGGAGGGACAACTGTTCCTTGTGAACACCTGATATCAATATGTCCCCAACTCTTTTTTTTTTTTTTTTTACCCCTCTTATTTGGAAAGTAAGAAATCAAAGTCTCTTTGGCCATTTGTAGGTGCACTGAATGGCTGTGATGCAGAAATTTAGCCATACAGCCCTGACTTCTCAAAGGCTATTTCTTTGCAGACCTCGTGCAACTGCTGTTGAACCTAGTGAAGTTGTAGGTGTAGAGAACCTAAAAGGATGAGGGCCTTATTCTCGGGGCCTCAGCATCCCCCCTGTAAAATGCAGCTACAACTCACCCAGAGGACTGCGCCAGGCTGTGGAGGGTTAAGAATTGTAGATGAGCTTTAGCATTCTCAGATGTAAAGGACAAAAAAAAGTATAAAGTTTTAAAGTGTAGAGTGGTTGGCTCTAAAAAGTCAGTCAACAGTCACCACAGCAGTATCTGAGATGCTAAACCTTTGCCTTGTGCTGGTCTTGTTCAGAAACAGGCACGTGATAACTGTTAATAAACACTGACTTTTCAATGGCAACAGCACACTCTAATTAGAAGTTGCTTCCAAAAAATGTGCATGTGCTCCCATTGGGTGAACACACCTGGCATCTTGTACATCTACGTGGTTTGATAATGGCAAAGCTGATAAGCTAGAAGGGCTTTTCCATCAGTAGTATTTTATTCTAAATGTAGCAACACATTTGCTCCTGAGCTTGAGCAGTTGATATTACACCTGTGCTGTGTTGGCTGCCTTTCCAAAGGCAGACTGGTTTCAAGTTGGCTGCCTTTTTAAGTCCTTCATGCCTATACTTAAGGCTTCCTCTTTGAACTTTGTCTTTAACAGTGTTTGTGCCGACAGCTTTCCTTTCAGGGATATTTTTACTATTCTGTATGTGCAAATCAGGTATTGCTTATACAAATCAGTAATTAAATGCACAAAAATTATGTAGGGAGATGCAACAAAAGTGTCTACCTTGAAAACTCTGGTTTGGCTGTTTTCCTGTTTTGCAACTACCAGAGGTGTAAAAGGGAAAAGCTTTTGGGAACCATCTAGAGTTCATATTTGTCTAGATAAATATGAAGAAAATTTAGTCTTGACTTAAAGAATGAGTTTAATTTTCTTTAAATTTTTAAACCTTAGTTTTCAGGTTATTCTAATGGTAGTCTGACTACAACTATTATAATTGAATAGGGGGAACATTACTAGACATCCTACTAATATTTGAAAGTAACTATTTTGTTTGTTAGCAGAATTGCCGTGGAGTTTCTGGATTCTAAAGCTTTTTGCAAAAATTCATATCACCTCAAAGGAGACACTGCAATGAAAAAGAGACACCTGGAAATTTTGGGGTACCAGGTGGTTCAGGTATGGTGCACACAATCTGTTATATCAATATCTTATATTTGGACTGGTGTGTACAATAGAATCCTCTAAGCTCTCCCCTTCAAAAACTTTATACAGTTTCTCTTTAACAGGAGAGGGCATATGTGGCAGAATGCTCTCTTGTATTTGCAGGGGATTCTCTAGGCTCTGTAACGTTGTTGGGGAAAGACAGTATTTTTCCCTACCAGGAGGAAATAGCTATGGAAAGTGTGTTGTCTAGTTCCTGTTCACTCGGAGCAGCTGCAGCAAAACAAGGCAAATGATCTTGTATACCCTTCCTCCACTATAGCATAGTGGCTGCTTTGCCTCTGCTGCTCAAACAGAGGAAGTGAGGGATGTGCTACTCTCTTTGGAACGCAGCACTCCTTGGTAGATGACTGCTGCCTTCTAAAAGGAATGCCAGACTGGAACCACCTCTAAGTGGAGAGAAGCTCCATTTAAAAGGAGTGAAAGTCCATTGAAGTACACTGAATCAATTTGGAAATTCTGCTCCACTTCAGTTCAAGTGGGGGCTTTCTACACTAGGCCCGCCTAATTCTCCACTAGTGCAGCTCCAGCAGTGGAAGTTGTGGGATAGACAAGGCATGGACGCTTACCACTGTGGTGTGTAGCCCAGACACAGTGATAAAAACACATGCCCTGCCTAAGCTACTGCTTCCACTGTTGCTACAAGTGGTGGAGCTGCCCCAGTGGAGGATTAGAGATCTAGGGTTATTATTCCTCCAAATTAGTGTCGACATACCCTAGAAGCAAAGCTTCACTATAAGCAGGTTCCACTCTAACTCTTGCTTCATCTACTGTAATTTGAAACAGAATCCAGTCCATGCGACTTACAGTTTTATTCTTCAGACAGCTTGAATACCCTTAATTTTCTCCCTCTGGTATTCTTCTGACACTATATGTTACCCAATTTTTATCATGTCATTTCCTGTCTGAGGCAGTTTTTAAAATTTAAGGGTCAGATCCTCAGCTGGTGTAAATTGCCAGTTTATACAGTGGAGGATTTAGTCCTTAATTAGAAGTATTTTGACATTCGGACAGGAAATGACATGATGATGGAGCTATGCCAACTTACTCCACCTGAGCATCTGGTCCTTCATCTCTACTATTATTATATGAAAGCAAGCTGACTGTTACCAGGCAAATACATTTAGCATTAAGAAATTCCTAATATTAAAAATGAAGCATAGCCCATATAACGATCTTCAATCTTCCATATCTTATCTCCTATAACAATCTTCCATATCTTAAAATGGAGAGCATGGGTCTTAAATAAAAGGTGCCACGCATTGCATATGTGTATCTACTATGACACTGTGTCTAACAAGAAGAAATGTTAACAGTAAGTTACCGTGCAAACTCTGTCTTACAGATTCCTCACTTTGAATGGAATTCCATGGAGCTGTCATCAAAAGATGCATGGATGGAGTATCTGAAAAAGAATATATTTGAAACAAATTAATATAGAAGAGACAATCATGAATATATATTTTCATATAAACATTTAACTTTATCATGTAATATTAAATATTTTGTAACCTTAAGACATTTATTCTCCATTGAAATTTCTTTATAGGCTTGACTGAATAAGGCACTGGGAATCAGGAGATTAGAGACGTAATCCTGAGTTTATCAATGACTTGGCTGGTTGCAAAGGTCTAAAAAAGTGATAAAGTTAAATTTTACATTATTACCAAGTTATAGCTTGCAACCAACTGGGACTATGGCAGCTTGACCATAAAATGATACTACCACCTCCTCAGCAGGGATTGGGGAGGACACACAACATTTATCAAACAAAAATTTGGAAATGTTATTGCAGATACAGCATAAAATCCTTCAGAAATGAGGAATGCTTTTTGGTGTGTGACAAAATGGATAAAAAGAAGTGAATGCAGAATCTCACTAGTAGCACAGAAACATTGGGAATGCAAGAATCTTAACCAAACGTATTAAAGCAGGCTTTCTTGGCCATACTGCAGCTATTTGGTACCTGTCCATCAAAGTGGCAGTAAACTTAGAAACTAATGAGGATTTTCCTCTGGGGTGGGGAATCCTAGGCCTCTGGTGTAGGGAGGGTGGCTGGGACCTCCCTGAATATTTCTTGGGCCCCAAAAAGTAAACTAGTCCAAAGGTGTGGCACCCAATCAGACCCCCAGTCTGCACTGCACAATGTTCACATGCAACTCATGATGTGGCTGTAAAACTGTAGCTATAGAGCAAATAAAATTAAAGGATTTCCAAAATGGGGGGCAGGGGCAGGGAAAGCTAAAGGACTTTACTCTAGGAGTACTGTAGGACTACCTGAAGGATTTTACTAGAGCTTGGGATTGCACATGGCTCATTTGCACAGAAGCTCTCATTGGACTAGCCCATTGGCAATAAAATTACATACAAATTAAAGGCAAAACAGTGCAGAAGTTAAAGGTGAATTATATTTGGGAGACTGGTGGAAGACAGCAAAGACCTTCCAAAAACTAATGAGAGTATCTGATATTACATGGCACAGCTTGCAGCCAAACTTAAGTTCAAATATGAGTAAGATAACTTCTCTGCTTAGAAAGAGAGTACACATTATTCAATATTGTTAAGTTTGAGATGGAGCTTATGACCTCAGTGTCCTAAAGAACAGCACTGCCTTTAATGGTTAATGGGGGATTTTGGGGTTACTTTTCTTACTCATTTTCCAAAATATTGAATGGCATTTCTATAAGTGAGGGAGAGGCTTTCTAATGCACCAGATGGCAAAACTATGAATATGTACTGAAAACTTAAGTAGAGTATCAGGAAGGCCCTCGTCATAATGAAATCTCTAACACTCTCTTAGGACTGCTGGGGGAAGAGGTAACACCATGCCTACCTGATGTCAGGCTTTTTAGGGACTTCCCCAAACTATCTCCAGAGTAACAAGGCTTCCAGTAGTCTGACAAGCACTCAGGATTGTTGAGAAAACCTAAGACAATGAGATGCAGGAGACGGGAACAGAACAGACAAGAAAGCATTTGTTGGAGGGAGATATGGATGGTGTGGTGAAGCAATGCTATGCAGAAGCAACCTTTCTCAGGAGCAATTTTCTTTATGACTGCCTGGTCATTAGGGCTCCTCTGATAGGTGGGCTGCCCTTTTAACAGAAACTTTGTCCCAGAATGCCTTTCTGGTGCTTTTCCTTTAAATCTGGCAGGGGCAAGCTGCTGTAACTCTAAACTAGTCATCATGCAATTAGCTCCTACTTCTCCCTTTACTAGCCAGTAAGTATTAACTTCTATTATACTAAATGCTATCTGCTTAGGACTGAGGGAAAAAACTTCTAGCTTGCAAGGGTAAGCTGCTCCTTTCCTCTGTGAGAATACCTGACTCTGTGGGGCTGTATTTACTCTGGCCTGTGGAAGACTGGGTGGGGGCTGCTGGTTCTTTCCCTAGGGCCATGGGACTCCTGATCAAGCTGACTGGCATTGCAAGTGCTGTGGATTGCTCTTCTACGGCAGTGCATAAAAGCAGTACTGTACAGGAGGGCTACCCCTTGCAGACAGGGCCCTGAGGACTCCACAAACCGTGCGCTTCATTTTGTTCCTCTTGCAAAACAAAACATCCAAAAACTACCAAAGCTATTAAAGGCAGAACTGCATGTGAGGAAACCTAGGTTAGGCTGCAGTAAAATGGAGCAAAAAGCTGTGAACTAGTCAGAAGTCACCTGCATAGACTCTTGCTTTCCTACAGGCAGACTGCAGGCTACAGAAGCTGTTGGGAGTGTAAGAAAGGAGGTTGGGGCTTGTAGCAGAAAGTGGATAATGTGTTTCTCAGCACACCTGATGGCCTCCTACCTGGCTTGCATGTGAGAGAAGCTGAACACAACTGCCCTGCTGCAATTAAGTTTTTCATTATCCTAGTAAAGGGGCAGGCATCAGATCTTGTGTCCATGCTGATAAATGTTCATAAGTTACACAAGGCTGGGTTCTATGCTGAATATTTGTAAGGAGAAAGTAAGACCTAGATCAAAACTGGTGCTGAAATGGATTAAGAAAGTACATTTGTCCTTGAAAAGTGAAAAAAACTGAAACCAAGTGTGTTTATTTTTTATTTTATTTTTTAAAGTGGTGTGTTTAATTAGTTTGAAATCATTTTCATTCTGAATTAAATCAGTGAGTGTTATTTAAAAAAAACTATTTAAAAATAGTGGTAGGTTTGTTTGTCCTTCCTCCTAACCACTGCTGTTGACTAATGCCATCTGTGTTAGTCACACATCCTGAAGAAGGGCTGTTATCTTGTAGTGCTGGTTTAAAAAAAAAAAAAAAAAAAAGTCCTGAGAAAAAGAGCTTCAAAGTCTCCTAAACATGTGACTTTTCCACTGGTACCAGCTAGTTAATATATTAAGGAATACTGAAACAAAATGAATTTGCTAAAAATTCATGGAAATAAATTAAATTTTACTTGGGGAAAAAACCTATTACAATAAATAATTTGACTAAAACTCCAAACATTTTACTATATTGTTCCTCTAGAGTAAATGTTTAAATGTTATTTATTTAGTGAACACTGTGTGTGTGTGACCTTCTGGGTGGTGGTCTCTTGCCAGGGGATTTTACGATCGAAAAGGAATTACAATTCATTTGTTAAGGGTATTAACTGGCAGCAAGTGTTGATAGTTGTCAATATCAGGGTCCTATTGGTCAGCAACAGGTGTCATAATTCTATGTCTGAAGTCAGAATTGGGCCTTTGTGGAGGGAGTCTGAGTTTTCTTTACTCATGACTACAGCCTATAGCAGAGGCACCAAGAACTCTAAAAGAGCCTGCAAAATAAACTACAGAACCACAAGCGAGCATTTTGGGTAAGTGTTGAAAAACAAAGGAGAAGTTGGAGAGCCTGTGTGCTTACAAAGAGAAGACCCAACAAACTATCAATCAGTGTCTCTCATTTCAGTCTTGGATATAGTGACTAGAGCTAATGCCATGTATGTACTTTATCTTGATTTCAAGTAGTAAAAAAAACTTATCATATGGCACCAGCCATAGGCCTCAATTGCAATTGGGGCCCAATTATGCTAGTTGCTGTAGAAACATGTACAGTTCAGGTTTTGCTGCTGACTCAAATACAATGGATAACAGAGCAGGGGTAAGGTTGACCTGTAGATCACAAGCCAAAAGGCTTTTCGGGTGCTGAAAAGTATGAAAACCCTCTTATTCAAACCCAGTACTCCTCCATATACAGAGACAAAAAGGAGGTGGAGCCTAAAGGCATAATCCATATCTCAATTATAATTTGAGATAATATTAACACTTTAAAGTGTATTGTGCTAAACTGCACAAAGGCACTTTTAATGTGCAGTGTCCACGTGGGATTTAAGAGTGGAATAGTTAATGCACTTTAAATTCACACTACCTATTTTAGACGTACTTACCTGTGTAGACAAGCCCTGAATTATCAAGGCAATCCAGCGTACGGCTGGCAGCAAAGATCAATGTAAACAGATATTCCTAAAATTATAGGGCCAGTTCCTCAGATGGTGTAATTCCATTGGCTTAAATAAGGCTGTCAATTGACTTCAGCTGAGGAGCTGGCTGATACTGTGTGCTCTGGGGAAAACCGAAAAGGTGAGACCTGGGAATATACTTGTACAATGTCATCCTGGAATGCGTTTTTGTGCCTGTGCCTTTGAGACATGCTAAATTATCTCCCCTGGAAGTATCTACATTCATAGTGGGTTTTTTTAATTTTTGTACAGTCCTGACATATTTGCTACAATCATATTGGATTAGATTAGTGGTGTTTCCTCATTCATGTGCCATAAAAATACCAGCTGTACTATATTTTAAAGAATATATAATGCTAAGTTATATTTTGGCCAAAGGCTGCATGAAATTTGTATAATTGCAATTTGATAAAAATTGAATATACAACCATCAAAAGCCACCAATACATTTTCTTTGCTGATTCCTAGCTGCATTTTAGTAAATATGTCCAAAATTAGCTCTATCCAGACCTCGCTTTCCCCTTTCAAATTGTGGGAAGCGTTGCATAGCAGACAGTTGTTGGTGCTCGCGAGGCTTGTTGCTTTTCACAGGTCTCTGGAGTGTTTAAAAAAAAAATTATTCCAAGGGCTTGCTGACTCAGTCATGTGCATTTAGCATGGTCCTCTTCCCAGATGGGTGGTGCGCAGGAAGATATTTTGACACTTACCTTTGGAGATGTGATATTAGATCACATGCTGCAAAGATCAATGCGTTCCTCTTCACTGGAAGGAGAGTTGTGGTGTTGCGAAGTATGTACATAGTTACTGAAGCCAAAAAGGGCTGTGTGAATATACTGCTTCAACCTGCTGCCACTCCCCATGTTGTAAATAGCACAACTAAGTCCCTGCTGCCTGACGGAACTTCAGCTTGGTGGGGAGATGGGAGAAAGGAAAAGAAATTTTCAACACAGAATGAATTTCCTTTGATCTTTGTAGTGCAGCAAGAAAACTCAT